AAGCAACATATATAGCTTCACCATTCTTGATATGATGCTGTCTGCCAAATGACAAATGAAAGCTTAGCATATGTTCATCCAAATAGGTAATTTTGAAAATCTACTTGTAACACGAAAAACAAGTAATTTGGTCGACTGCTATGGCAAATATAAGTTAGTTTCATCGACGATCCCTCCACAGAATGTAGTATGAGAAAAAATGCTTGATCTCCCTTGAAGTTCACTTTTGCCCTGTCACCCAAGAGCACTTATCGCAGCGTGGCGTAGTGGTTTCCATGTCGATATTATACACTGCGTTGTCATGGCGCGAGTCCCGCTGAGGGTACTGATGAGACCTTGACCTTTATCGAAACCAAAGCTAAGTGGAATTTAATGGAAACGTAAGGTCGACCCATACCACCAGTCCCTTAATCACTTTAAACGAAATAGTGCGAATACATCTTACAAATATATGTTTTACTGGAAGTTTTAAAAAACTGCTTGTAAAATGAAAAATAAACTCATTCTGTTTCCGGCGAGACATATTCACAACTTCCTGCCAGCCAATTTTCCCTTCAAAGTACAAAGTTGAGTCACACTATCTCACCAAGGGATTCCTCGAAAACCAGCATTTTGGGTAAATACAGCTGGGGTCTGGCTCTAGTACCAATCTTTATGCCTCGGTACATGCCTTCATTTCATATCCTCGTTTCTCTCCCTTCGTCAACATAACTTTTAACTTTTTTACGTCGACTATCTTTCGAGCCAATAAGTCCTAATATCACACCACAATGGTACCATCTACCCAACCTTAAACCAGACAAGAGGAGATACGATGAGATATATAACAATGTTTCAGCAGAAATGGTTGTGGACACTTTCAGCTCATATGAAAGAGCAGGATGGCTTGCAGTCGCTTGGCTCCAATATGATGCTCAAGTCGGTGCAATTTCCGATACAACCTACCACATTTCGGATGAAAACGGGCTGAGTTTTCGTCTATCACATGACGGAAATCTTCTGATCTGTAACTCATTCCTGCACAACTCTCAAGATACCACTAAGCCTAGAAGACTGTACGGCTCTATCCAACATGTCATATGTATATAAATATAACTGAAAAAGGAAAAAACTATATATTTATATAAATGGATATAGAATGATTTGATGACGCGAGCCTGACGTTAGCCTTTTCTATTTGCCCTCAATTGGGACCGGCATTGCATTCAAACGTTAACACACATACGCATACACATAGACAGACATACAGACACAACCAAGTAAATGCCATATGAATGATATGATACTCGTGGCAATGTGGCGTGGTGGTTAACATGTTGAGATTATACTCTGCATTGTCATGGCTCGACTTCGGCTGGAGGTGTTGATAAGACCTAGGCGAGATTGAAACTGCAGTTGTCCCTGGATGAGAACAACTTTTGGGAAAGCAAGCCTCTGCAATATACAAAGGAAATGTCAGTAGTAGAATTTTGCCACAATGACGTGAGTAGAGCTGACGTTTCCATTCATTTTCACACAGCCTTGCTTTCGCAAAACTTCTTCTCATCCAGGTTGGATTGGACTGCGGTTTCGACCCCCAGCGGGAGTCGAACCGTGACTCGTTAACCACTCGGCCACATTGCCGCGAGTGCCGTTGGGTCACAGGGCATCTCACATTATTCGGTGGGATTGTCGATGAGGAAAGCGTATTTTTTTTCTTTTACAATCGACAACGTTACTTCTATTTTGTATGCAGGTAGAGTTTTGAGACCACGAGTAAACCAGTAATATGAGATGTACAGACTGCGAATCGGAGGACAACTTACTGTATCCCTTGATGAGGCCGAACTCCTCTTCGTCCGTCGAGTAGCCGCCCTCCGTAGAGGGCAAGATGATGGAGAAGTTGTCGGTGCCCGAGGAGGCCCCGGCTGGTGATCGGTCCATCCGAGTGGCCAGCTCGATGAGCTCCTTCTCCTCACTGCCAGACGAGGCTGCGGTCTCGTCAACCGTCTCCTTCCTCGGACCGGGGGACCGAGGCGGCCGTCTTCGGGGCTCTGATGCGGCCGGTTCGGCGTATTCCGTCGACTGAGGCGGAGCTAATCGGTTCGCCTCGGCCTCGGCCTCGAGCTCGCCACGAGCCACGTCGACCATCGCTTCGGAGTCCCGCTTCTCCGAGACCTCCTCGGCTCGAGTCGGCGCCCCGAACGGCTCCACGGTCGAGACTGGTCTCAGCGGCCTCGCCAGCGATGTCGTCGAGCCGGGCCGTCGGACGGCCAGGCTCCACACCGAGTGATCCTCTTGCGACGGCGTCGCGGTCAGCCGGCCGGGCTGATCCAACTGGCCCGGTTGGCTCGTGCTGCCGATCAGGCCGCAGGGCTGACTGTAGACGCCCGGGTGGGACAGCGAGCGCAGGGCCGTCTGCTTCCATTTCTGCTGCTGTACCTCCTCTTTGGCGAGACAGTCGACCTGAAAGAGCGCATAAATGGTGCAAAAGTGAGGCGAAGCAGAGGAGGCTGGTGACGGAGGGCGAAACGGTGAGGCTCTGGGCCCGCTTGCATGCATGCGTGTACATGCGGGAAAGAGACGAGGAAGCAAGAGAGAGAGGCAAGAAGGTGAAAGCTGATTTCGGACTAGCGCAGCGGAAGCCAAGAGAGCAACATCCACGACAAGCCCGAGATGGAGCACAAGGTCTCGCGCGGGATTCAAGCTCGGGCCAGGGCCATCTTTGAGTTCCACGGGATCGAGCCTGTCGAAACCTCGCAATCAAACCCAAGTCCGAGGCTGTTTAGCAAAAGTGAGGATTAGCTTAGATGCATGTCTGTCTTTTGGATGATAAGAGGCAACTAAGAAGAACTTACTTCAGGCTTGAGAGATAAAAAATGGATAAAAATGGCAATTTGTTGGTTAAATTTAGCTCAAATTAGTTGTTTATTGGAAAAAAGTAGCCATTACTAAAAGCAATCAAGGCGCTTCTGTGTAGGCTGAAATAAGCATCAATTGCTCTCCATTCTAGTTGCAGCCTTCTTCCGTTGCATACAAGCTGTTTGAATTCGTTTGCGTAACTTGATCGTGAGGCCATGGTGACCAAAATAAACAAAATCTCTTGTCCAAATTCCTCTGCAGTTGTAGATTCCCAGACATTCCGCCGGCATCCAATTTACAACGCACCAAAGCGACAAATTAAGTCTATCCTTTGTCCAGTCCTACACCGAATGA